TGGAAGGCAGTATGGTGCTTGCTCAAAAAGTTGGAAATAGAAATACCATATGACCCAGCTATTCCACTACTGGGAATATACCCTACAGAAACCATAACTGCCACTCAAGCAGATATATGCACACCCATGTTTATTGTTGTTTTGTTCACAATAGCAAACAGTTGGAAACAACCCAAGTGCCCATTGGCAAATGAATGGACAGAGAAACTGTGGTGTATTCACACAATGTAATACTATGCTGCCTTGAAAAAACAAGGAACTCATGAAATAATATACAAAATGGATGACTCTGGAGGATATTATGCTGAGTGAAATATCTCAGATACAAAAGGACAAATACTGCATAGTGCCATTCTTCTAAAATGGGACTGACATCAGGGTTGAGGTGAATTTAAGAAAAGAGGAGATAATATTGCATATGGCATTGACACAAATGAGGGAGAGAACTGTTTAAAAGGAATATATGCTTAGGTATTATTTTCATGACAAGAGTCCAGAGTAAGAGCTGCTTAGTAAAGTGGACTTGGGTGGAGGGGAGGATTGTATAACAATGAAAGAATTTTTTTTTTCTCTTCATGGAGAATAGGTAACTGAGAGGAGGGGTAGGGAGGGAGGAAAGTGTGCAACAATGTATGAATGGAAAGCCAAAGTCTCTGTAAACTTTCATTAAAACTTTAAAAAAAATCTTCATAAAAGATATTACTTTCATGACATATTAATGATATTGTTTACAATATATAATATTCACACTTTATTGGATAACTTTTTTTGGGAATGGGAACAAATATAGATTTCTTCCAGTTAAGTAGTTGGGTAGCTGTCTACCATATTTCTTGACAGACTAGGAAGCACATCCAGGGATGCATTTATTTCAATAGGCATTCCATCAATTCCTGGGGCTTTATACATTGCCAATTCCTTCAGTGCAGGCTGAACTTCTTCTTTTATAACAACTGGTTCTTGATCATCATATTTTACTTCCAGAAATAGTTCTTTATAGTACAATGACTCTGTATACCATTGTGTTTTTTTTAATGCTTCCTACATTTTGGAAGTAGGAGTGGCATCCACTTCCTAAATAGCATGCCTCTGGAAACTCTATGACCTTTGAGAAAGATGATAGGTATAGAAAGGCTTCAGGTCTTTTGTTCATGGAATCACAATGAGTCATGCTCAACTCCACAGCAATCAACAACAATAACAACATCATCATTCAAGATTCTGCCCTTATGATTCTTCAGTATTCCAATTTGAGGATTCCAATTGTTCTTTAGTTATTTTCACTTGAGAAATGCTGACCATGTTCTTCCTTTTTGGTTTTCTAGTTCCAGCTCTTTGCACATTTCATTATAATACTTTGCTTTTTTTTTCTTCTTTTCCAGTTGCTCTTTGAATGATTCTGTTTTGCTCTCTTACATATATATGCTTAGGTATTATTTTCATGACACGAGTCCAAAATAAGAGCTGCTTAGTAAAGTGGACTTGGGAGGGAGGGGAGGATTGCATAATAATGAAAGAATTATTTTTTTTTTCTCTTCACGGAGAATAGGTAACTGAGAGGAGGGGTGGGTAGGGAGGAAAGTGTGCAACAATGTATGAATGGAAATCCAAAGTCTCTGTATCAGCATTCCTTCACCTTGCTTTGATTCTTCCATTCCAGTGGAAATTTCAGATTCTCTTCTACCATTCCATTTGATCTATATAACAATGCATAGAGGAACATTATTTCCTTTCATCAATTCAACAATGATTTTAGCAAAGACTTCTACGGGACAAAGTACAAGATGTCTGTTTTAGGGTATGATGACCAACAATATAAATAAGCCAAAGGAAGTGTCTCTTCCCTGCTCGGAAAAATGCTTGTCTGTCAGATATTGTTCTAAAACTAAGCATCCAAATTAAGACAGATTCAGAAGAAGGACTGGCCATCTATTTCCAAAATATAACAGGCCCTCAAAAACCCTATTTACAGTAGAGCACACTTAGAGTAGACTAGCAGGTATGGCAACTAAGGCTGAGCCCTCAAATTTTGAAACACAGGAGGAGAACTAGTTGCAAGCAGAAACCAATGGCTGGAATGTGGAATGTGAGAAGCATCAATGTAGGAAAACTACATTGTTAAGGAAGAAATGAAACACATAAATATTAACATATTAGGTGGTGTTTGTTTGGGTTTTTTTTTCTGAAATGAGATGCATTTACGTGGAGGTTTTTAATTAGATGATCATAAGCTCCACTATGCTGGAGATGAAAGGTGAGAAAAAATGGGGTCACTTTCATAGTTGTGAGTGACAGGATAATATTCATACATATACAAGGAAGACCTGTTAATACCACTATCATTCAAATTTATGCACCAATAATCAGAGACAAAGAGGAGGAAATAGATGATTTCTACCTACTGTTGTAGTCAGAAATTGATTGAACATGTAACCAAGATGCATTAATTGGAATGTGAAAGTTGGGAATCAGGAAGAAAGATCAGTAGTTGGAAAATATGGACTTGTGACAGAAATGAGGCTGGAGAATGAATGATAGAATTCTGCACAAGAAATTATTTATTCATAGCAAATACCTTTTATGAGAACATAAACACAGGCTATACACATAGATTTCACCTGATGGTATGTACAGAAATCAGATCGATGTAATCAGTGGAAGCAATCGCTGGAGAGGTTCAATATCAGCAGTGAAAACTAGGCCAGGTGCTGATTATGGAAAAGACCATCAACTACTAATATGCAAGTTCAAATTGAACCTAAGGAAGATTAAGTCATATCCACAGGAATCAGAATTTGATCTTGAGGCTATCCCCCCTGAATTTAAAAACCAAATCAGGAATAGGTTTGAGGCCTTGAGCACTAATGAATAAAGACAAGATCAGTTGTGGAAGATATGACGAATATTATTCATAAAGACTGCAAAAGGTCATTATGAGGAAGGAAGAAGACCAAAATGGATGTCAGAAGAGACTCTCAATATTTCACTAAAGCACCAAGAAGTGAAACCAAAGGGAAGAAATCATGAAGTTAGGGAAATGAATAGAAGATTCAAAGGGCAGCTCAGGAAGACAGGCAGAGTATTACACTGAATGCACAAGGAGCTGGAGTTGGAAAATCAAAAGGGCTCTGTATTTCTTAAGCTGAAAGAACTAAAGAACAAATTCAAGTCACGAGTAGCAATACTTAATG